TCTTTCTCTGACTGACATGTCAATTAGTATAATACCCTCTAGTTCCATCCACATCACTGCAAGTGGCAATATTTCATTCTTTTTGATGGCTGAATAATATTCCATTGTGTATACCTCATCTTCTTATCTTCTTTATCCATTCATCTGTTGATGGACATCTGGGCTCTTTCCATATTTTGGCTATTGTGGACATAGCTGCTATAAACACATAAAATTAAATTTTATCTTTAAATGACCAAAATGAAGAAGAGCCTGGGTGGCTCAGTCAGATAAGCAGCTGACAATTGATTTTGGCTCAGGTCATGATCTTGGGGTCATGAGATCGAGCCCCACATTGAGCTCCATGCTCAGCGGGGAGTCTGCCTCTCTCCCTCTCCCTCTGCCTCTCCTCCTAATCGTGCACTCTCTCTCTCATTCAAATTAATTAATTAGCTAATTAATTTAAAAAGAATAAATGACCAAACTGTACACATGCTCAGTTTTAAAGCTTCTTTCTAGACCTTCTGATATCTTTCCTTCTCCTTAACCCCACCCTCCTTCCTCCACCCTCCTCTCCTCCCTCCTCTCTCTTTTGCCTTGCTGATGCTATCAGCTCTGACTTTGTCTGTTTTCTGGGTGAATCAGCATTGGCAAACCTCAGAGATAGGGATCCAGGAAGTAGAGGAGAGGGCCAGATAACAAGACATCCCCACAAGTTGGATTATAGCAAAGGCCCCATATTCCTTTGTTATGCCATGGTGGTGGTTCCCTCAGCCCTTAGCTAGCACATCATCAGGGTTCAATGAAGCCACAGCATTGAAATCATTAAGCAACTCTACTAACACTAGAAGGCATATTGGACCATTCATATAAGGAAATGAAATACAGAGCCACTTGAATGGTATAATCTGAAGGATGTTAAAATGGTGTCTCTGTCCCAGAACATCTTTCAAAACAGAAAGATCTTGAAGGGTTGAAGCCTTTCAGAATATCCTATGAAAATGAAAATGCCCCAAGAAAGTTTTTTTTAGAACCCTAGGAGGTAATATCTCAGTAGGGATTCGTTTCCAAAAGTGACAGGGGATCAAAGGGAAAGGCTTCATAAGTATGCTTAGGACAAGAAATAGGATGGGAAGATGGTACATGTCATAAAGGAAGATAGGAAGATAAAAGAGTGACAAATTTTTACTCCTTCAGAGTTGTACTAAGGTAGAACGTGTTCCTACTACTCTACTAAGTGCTATGGATCCCAGTCATTCTTGGAACGCTTTGGAAAGGGATTGGGAACTCCAGCTGTCCTAGTGCTATATAGTGTTGATGACAATGAAGTTTCAATCTGTACTAAGCACATTATGGGTTAAAATCACAAAAGTGCTGCAAGCCCTAATGCAACCATAGAAATATCATGTTGAACAAAATAGACACCAGAGTAGGACTGTCCCCAAAGGGTAGCTGGGCATTGGGCCAGAGACCTGTCAGGTAACCTGTCTTGTTGACTATTGCCAGGGCAGAAAGAAGGAGCGACAGGAGCCTGAGTTGCTTGAAGATGCAGTTCAGCCAGCATTGGGAAGGAAGACACTGACACAGACATGAAATGTTTTAGATTGTTCATTTGCCCCCCCAAATTATGATTCTTAGTGCAGTGTACAAAGCAGAATTTCAAATTATTCAATCTTTCTTTTCCCCCTAAGCTAACAATCAGCATGTATAATTTATTAACATAACTGAGCATAATCAGGCAGTCTTTTTATATCTGTTTAATGAACACATTTATCTCATGCTTCCCTAAAAATTCATTTGCCCAGTTAAGAAAACCTCATTTACTTAAAATGTGTTCCTAAGCATTGTAAAAACTCCATAAATCTCAGTGTTGTGAGTGTACAAAGGATTAAAGTGCAGGTGAAACATGAGAATTTCAATGTGATTACTTCCCTATTCTTACTTTGACTAATTCAGGATATTAAAACTACTTTAGTCATTCTGACGAAAGTCAGTGTAGTTCTTTTTTCTACTCAAAAGAGAATAATTCTGTAAGTTTAGGCAGTTTGGAACTTGTACTGAGATGTTGAATTTGGTCTTTGCTCTTTAGCAAGAGGGTGGGGGTGAAGAGAAATGTCCCTATGTTTACCCACTGGGTAAATATGCCTGTAGACAAGCCATTGTTCACTGCTTTAGTTCCTGGACTTTTTAAAAATCTGTCTTGGTTACTCCACAATCCCCTTGTTAATCATCTCATCTTCCTGCTCAAGTGCCTCCACTTCTGATTCTAAAGCATTATTTGGTAAACTAAATCATTCATAACTCAGCCAGGAAGGGAAAAAAAAAAAGAAAGCTTCTGAGTGGTAAAAAATCTATGCCATAAAAGCCATGCACTGTATATTTCTTTATGTGAGAGCCCCTGCTCAGCCCCTACACAATTCTAGCAAGTTTACTTATCCAGTTTACTAATTCACAGATGATTAAAAATAATAAAATGAGTTTACATCTGCTACAGCTTATTATTATTATTATTAACCTTTATTATATGTTGCTAGCTACTAAACACTGTGCTAAGCCTTTTACATGCATTATTTCACTAAATCTTTGCAACAACTGTATAAAGTTAAATATAATTAACAACTCCATTTTACAGTTTCATAAACTGAGTTTTAGACTAAATTTTAGGATTAATTTTCAAATTTATCTATATTTAGTATGTACAAGCACACAGATAACAGTGTGAAGGAATATGAGATAGCCTGATAGCAAAAGATTAGAAAAAATACAAAGAAGAAAGAAATTACATGCAGTTGGAAAGCATAGCAATTTTGAGGTTTTTAATTTGGAGGCAGGCCACTTCATACCTCTCAGCAGCTTTCAGAAGGCAATATGGTGTTACAGCACAGTAAAGGAGCTGGTTTGTGTACTTATGACCCCCAAACCATTAAAAATAAATTATATTCAAAATCATTTACTTAAGAATGGAGAAAGAAGTATAATGCAGGCTATAAATATTTAAATTTTTTAATTGGTAAGGTAAATCTCAACTGTGTGTTTTGGATTCTCAAAGGGAAAGCTTCGTTAATCTGAAAAATTCACATAAATAGAACACATTATTCTCTGATGATGGTGGTATTTTTTATGTGCGGTATGTTTCCAAAGACTAAAACATTAAAAGGGAGGGAGAGAATATAACTGGACTTTTACTTCCCTTTTCAAAGCCTCTGAATTCTGGTTCAGTTAGTCCAGTCAATTTGCTGTAGTTTGAGCATATTCCATCACCAGGGTTTATCCATTATGCTGACTAATGTGGAACTATTTTTAAAGGAGACTTGGGAACACAACTGACTAAATGTGTGATTTGAAGTTGCCAAAGACAATATCCAACCCCACTCTAGTAAAGAGACAAAAATAGCTGTCCCTTAGCTCTACCTAAAATGGCCACGTGGCCCAGGTTCAGGATGTGATTGTAATTTGTCATGAGAAGAGAAGGTGAGATCTTGAGCGAGGTCATTTCTCAAGAGGCCAGCCCTTAGTGGGGTACCTGGGGTTTGCTTAGTGTACCTGAGTGGCTCAGGGAAGAATGAGAAGCCTGGGCAAAGACATTCAGAATAAGCCAGTGTCCCTGCAAGACTACTACAGGTACCCTTCAACAAAGTTGGCCTCATCCACAATCTTACCTATTATACCTTGCCTAGATCTATTCATGGTAAAGATCCCAAGAAAACATTGCAGGAAGGGACCCTAGGGACTGAGTAGTAGGATGGGGAAGGGGCTGAGGGACTGCAGGCTGCACTGTGAGTGAGAATTAAACAAATGGCCTAGTGTGGATGGAGTAAGAGGAGGTTACATGAGACAGACATAAAAAATAAAGTCCCAAATCACTGTGGTCATTCAGAAATGTTTGCAACTTTTTACAAGGGCAGTGGTATTAGTCCTAATTTCCTAGCCAAATATTTATTAAATTAACCAAGGACTGAGTACATCAGGCTGCCTCACATCAGCGCAACATCTCACTTTCCCTGCAGCTCTAAACTGTGAAGTACTGTCAAAAAAAAAAACAAAACAAAAAACCTCTTCCACACTCTAAATAGCTACATTACAGAGGAAAGTTGGAATGTCTTCTGGGAGTGGGTGTGTTTATTTGAGTTCAGTGTGTGCAGAAAAGGCAAGCCTCCACAGCCATTTACACATTTTCCTCCTCAACGATGGGTACACAGACAGCTGAGCTCCTGGAGTAAGTCTCTGAATGGTAATGTACATTTATAAAGATTATTTTCTTAACTATTTTGAGGCATTTTATAAATAATATGCATGTGTCTGCTGAGCACATATATATATATTTAGTCAACTTTTGCTTATTTTCTCCTGAGGCTGATCTTGTGCGGTTACTTCTGTGGTATAATTTCTGAGGTGTCAGAAAGAGTTTCTACCTCAGCCACCCAAAAATATCTCTTGGGTTGACCCACCACAGAGCTTAAAATCTCCACATTGTTCAAACATTTGATTCAGTCATTGAAAGCATCTGTTAAAATCCAAATGTTACACTGGGATATTAAGCAGACATAAGAAATCAAAGACTATGTAAAACAGAAAAGAATATGGAGAAATTGCTTCTAATGTTAAGTTTCAAAAGAAGAAAGCAAAATGACATACACAGTCTGGATCAGATGTTGTTCTTAAAATGTCATGGGGTCAGAATGAGCATATATGATTCAACTCATGAATATGAGCCTATAGTAAAAGAAACCCAGCATTGTTAGGCAGGTTTTGTTCTAATTTATTTTAAATGAGTGCTTTCCACAGTTTCTGATCCTCAGATCCCACTCTCTTTACAGTATATCTCATAACTCCCTTGCTGAGCTCCAGAGGCTCCCAATGACCTGGTAATCAACCGTGGTAGGACCCAAATCCCTACCTCCTGGAAAAGTCACAGAGCCTGACATCTTTTAGAAAGGAGCTTTTTCTAAATGGAGCTTTTAGAAAAACCACCCAATCTCTCTTGGTAGCAAACTGCCAAACCAAGCCCATTTCCTCAAAATATGGTAGAGGATTTAGCAGGCTTCAATATTGCTCTGAAATTGGAGAATAAAATTTTGCAGGCCCAAGTGCAGTGGCTGATGGAAGAAAATGTTGCCCCACAGGCCCAGATCCCAGAGCTCCAGATGCCCCAAGCAGCCAAGGAGGCTGAACCACTCCAGAAGCCCTCAAAGTCCCAGGAACCCCAGAAACCCCTAGAAAACCTGGATTTCCCAGAAGCCTGGGAGTGCCAAGAATTCCCAGAAGTTGAGGGTCCCCAAAATCTCAGAGAGCCCCAGGAGCTCCCAGCCTCGAAGACCCCAGCAGCCAGGAGCACCAGGAAATAAGACCCAGAAGCCCTTGGAACCCCCAGCAGCCCCAGAGTCCCTGAAGCTTCCAGCAATCCATAAGCCACAGGCACCTTCACTGGTCTATGAGCACTCAGCAGCCTGGAAATCTCAAAATCTTCCAGAGATCAAGAAACTCCACGAGCCCCCCTTGGCATAGGAGGCCTACAAGCCCCCAGAAGTTAAGAAGGCCCAGGAGCCCCCAGATACCCAGGATGTCCCAGTGACCCAGAAGACCCAAAATTCAGAGCACCAGGATCTCCCATGTGCCCAGGAGACCCAGGAGGCAATAGAATGCCAGGAGACCCCAACATACCTGGAGCCCCTTAAGCTTCCAACTCTCCAGGAGTCTCTGGAAACTGGAGTGCCCCACAAGCCTCTGGATCCTTTAGATGCCCAGGAGTTCCTAGAGCCCTCAGCACACCAGGAGTCCCTGGAGGGCCTAATAGCTGCTTTGACATCAGCAGCTTCAGAATTCCCACAGTCCCCCAGTGGGTTAGAGGGTGAAGCTTTCTCCCTAGAATACTGTTTAGCCTTCAGTGGAGATGCGCAGAAGCTTTCTGAGTTCCTGGTTCAATTGAATAGTTACATGAGAGTCAGAGGGCATCTGTATCCCACTGAAGCAACCATAGTGAGCTTTGTTGGCAACTGCTTCTCAGGTGAGGCAGGAATGTGTTTTTAGCCCTTACTAGATACCCAAAGTGCCCTCCTGGAGCAAATTGAAAGTTTCATAGAAGTGCCCCAGGATACTTTTGACAGTCCAGAAAACATGGAACATGCCAGTCACAGCATCCATCAGCTTTGCCAAGGGGAGGATCCTGTCCACCAATATGTGACCCACTTCCATCTCTGCTCAAGAGCTAAACTGGAATGAAAGCATTCTCTACATCCAATTTCAGGAAGGGCTTGCCAGTTCTGTCCCAGATGATCTGTCTCACACAAACCCAGCAGCCGCCAACCTATCTGATCTGATCTCTCAGTGCCTAGAAGAGAAGCTAAGTGGTAAGCCTGATCCAAATCCACAAGGAGCAAGTCCTTCTGAGGAGAGAGCTGGGCCTGAGAGTTTACTAGCTGAAAACCAGCCTGTGCAGGCTGCAAGCAATAGCCCACATCTCAGTGAAGCTGAACAGGCCCACTGCTGGGAAAGCCACTTGTGCCTCTACTATGGTCATCCTGGTCATTTTGCCAAAAACTGCTCTGTCAAGACTCATTGTGCATAGCAGGTGGGAAACATCGAGGCCCAGCAGTAAGGGGGAACCCGGGCAGGCCAATCTATAAATATGGGTCCCCCTCACTTCCAACATCCATGTCTCATACCCTATGGCTTATTGTTGAATTCCAACTGGGAAGACAACAGTTCTTTGAGCAAGCAATGGTGGATCCAGGCTCCTACAGAAACAGCATTGACCATTCTGTGGTTCTTCAAGAGAATCTGCCCATCTGCAATAATATCTTCCTTCTGATGCTTGAAACGATAGATGGTCATCCACTGATTATTGGACCCATAACCAAGGAAACACCATCTGTGGAAGTTAAAATTGGAAACAACGTTGAAGAGCTCCAGTTTGACATTATTCATGCACCACAGTACCCTCTGACTCTTGGAATTCATTGGCTTCAAACACATGATCCAAACATTGAGTAGAGTCCCCACACTGTGTCTTTTCCATTCCATTATTGTCACTACAATTGCTTCAGGCACAGGCAGAATACAAGATGTCATGATGAAATAATTGCTGAATAGATCTTGTGTCCTCGTGACTGAGCTTAACAACCTGTTTTCTGTTACCTCAGCTATCATCAGCATTTGCTGCTCAGAATCTTCCACTGATGGGGGCACCTGGGTGGCACAGTCAGTTGAGCTTCCAACTCTTGGTTTCAGCTCAGGTCGTGATCTTGGAGTCTTGAGATAGAGCTCATGTTAGCCTCTGGGCTCAGCGAGAGTCTGCTTAAGGTCCTCTCTCCTTCTGCTCCTCCCCCCTCCCTGTGCTCTCACTCTCTCTCTCTCAAATAAATATAAATAAATATAAATAAATAAATAATATTTTTTTAAAGCAAGAATCTTCCACTGAATCTCTGGCAAGGAACTAAGGGTACTTGCATAATAACCCTGCCTCTCAGATCATGCAATGATCTCAGATCAGGCAATGAACGTGATGATTTTGAGTTGCTTTTTTTCACCAACTCTGCATGCCCCCACCTTGAACTCTGCCTTAATGTGGGGCTGTTTTAATTATAATTTAAACTAATAAGATGCATGAGAATAGATATTAGGAACTAACATTGAAAAAGTGTAGTTGAGGGGTGCCTGGGTGGCTCAGTCAGTTAAGCATCTGCCTTAGGCTCAGGTCATGATCTCAGTGTCCTGGGATTGAGCCTGGCATCAGGCTCCCTGCTCAGTGAGGAGTCTGCTTCTCTCTCTCCCTCTGCCCCTCCCCTTGCTTGTGTTATCTCTCTCAAATAAATAAAATCTTAAAAAAAGAAAGAAAAAGTGTAGTTGTTAGACTGACTTGAGTTTTTTTTCAAGATTTTCTTTATCACAACAACTGCAACATTTTCTCAATAAAGAAAACAAATTTGCAAGTGATATTTTTTAAAAATCAATAAACATTGGCAATTTCTACTGGTGTTTGAATTATTTCATGGCTCAGCTGAGGGAAGAGGAAAGGGACAAGTAAATTGGGAGAGAAGAGATTGGAAAAGGCTTAAAGTTTGGGTGAGATCCTGAATATTCCAGGGGTAGCCAGGTCAGTGGGTGATAGGGTTGGGGGAAATGGAGAAAGTAGAGGAATGGTTGTGGTGAAGGGAAAAGGGTTTATGGGGGAGGGTAGAGGGAAGGTTGAGAAGAGGGTTTGGGGAAGATTGGGAGCAAAGGTTGGAAAGGGTTCAGGTGAGGGCTAGGTGGTGCAGAGGGCAGGAATGAGAGGAGGATAAAGTCCTACAAAAATAAAGGGAGCAGCAACAGAAATATTGAGCAACTTCAAAAGCAAACTTTTTTTGGACTTCATAAGTTAACCAAACAAAAGCACTGAAGAAGGTAATGAGATCCCTCGGTGACCCAACTTTCCCAGTAAAGTGACACGGTCTTATTCCCTGCACAAGGGACATTTGTCCTAAGGCTCATGCCTGTTAATCTGCTCTTGCTGGTGCATAAGGATAGGGTAGCAGGAATCAACTTTCAACACATGCAGATCATTAGTAGCCAACTATACCTCTCCCACATATACAAGTTGCCCCACCCTGCTAGCCATGCTGCTTGTATGACACACAGAGAGAGCCAAGTCAATGAAAGGAACTTCTGTCCTTATGGACCTGAGAGGGGGTAGTGTCCTGACTTAAATCACACATACATACATATTCCCACAAACTACAGGGTGGGGAGATGGAAAGGTGGGATCTCCAGGTAAGATATAAAAAATGATCAAAGTAGATTCTAATGCTTTTCCTCTGTGTTTTCAACACTCCTTTTGGAGTCTCCTTCTGAAGCCACTTGAAGGAGATTCTGCCTCTTACTTAGACAAATAATCAAATACATAGTCATAAACTTAGAAGGAGATAGATGAGGAACCTACCATTCATTGAGCACCTAATATGTTCCAGCTATAATATCAGACTGTTATACACATTAACTTATGCCTCACAATAACCCAGTGTAGTAGGTATGTTTGCTCCTATTTTATCAATGAGGAAATAGAGTCCCAGGGAGGCCAGTTCACTTGCCCAAAGTCACAAAATTAGTGATGGAGACCTGTTTGGTCTTTACAGTCTTTACAGCCCTTTTTCCTACATCATGCCAATTTCCCTAATGCAGTGGTAAGGGTCAAATGAGATTGTGGTGGCAGAGAGCTAAGTGAGATAACCCTGAAAAGGGGATGGGGGACTCAGAATAAAAATTGAAGGAACCATATGGGTAGGAGTTCTGTTTCTCCAGTTCCCTTGATCTTACTCCCAACACCCTCTCCACCCCATTAGCCCCCAAACTTTCTATTTCATCTCCTGGAAAAATTCCTTTTGTTAAACTAATGCCACAGCCCCCTTTCACACAGTTAGCATAGATAATAAAATGTGTGATGGTAACAAATATATACCAAACTGAAATATTGTATGAGATGATAAAATTAACAGTAATAACTACCATTTAATAAGCATCTGGATTTTGCCAGACATTGAACTAAGTGATTCAGGTATTATTAGCCCTTTTATGTAAATCAACGAAGTGAAACCCACTGAGGTGAGATCACTTGCCAAAGGTCACACTGCTAGGAATTCGTAGATGCTAAAAACAAACCCTGATCTGTCTCATTTCAGAGCTGGAATTCTAGCCAATACACCACACTGCTTTTCAGGCTGAATAAACTTCACTCTTTATTAACCACTCTAACAATATTTATTCACTAGACACGAGTTATATTACTTTAGAAAAATATATTAAATTGTTAGTGCATTTATTTATTCATTGATTTAACAAGGATTTACTTAATGTCTTCAATGTGTCAGGCAAAGAATGGAGAAAGAGGAAGAGAGGTACAAAGATGTCTAATGTATGATTCATGGTTCTTACTCTGACCATAGTTAACAGGGGAAGCTGTTGTGCAACACAGCACTCCTGGTATACAGAGGAGAGCACTAATTTTGCTATGGACTAAAAAAAGTGTGTTTTGAGCTGGGTCTTGAAGGAATCTCATTGGAAACAAAAGGGAAGGTATGGTTTTCTAGATTGAATAAAGTGTACACAAAAAAGCAAGTTGGAGAGAAAAATAATGGTGTCATTAGAAAAGATAGATCTATTTCACTGGAGAGTAGCAATGTGTGTACATGTGGGTAGGGTGACTGCTGGGTGTTGGTGGGGAGAGGAAACTTAACAAGGAAATTGGAAGTTTCAGGTTAAAGACCTGTCTACTTGGATAAAGCATTTAAAATTTATCCTATGGGCAACTGGGACTGGAATCTTTGTTTTTCTCCTGTGTTAGATTTGGGTGTGCTTTTTTTTTTTTTCTCTCTTGCTGCAAAGTAATGCACACTCATTGTAACAAATTCATATATATCAGAAGTTTATAACATAAAAGTAATATGCCCCTTATCTCACAAATTAGTTTTTTAAGTAGGAAAGAAACATGATTCATTTATACTTTAGAAATTTGATAGCAATGTAGAAAATAACAGAGAAAGTGATAAAGTACCCCCATTATTTTTTACCTTTTTAGATTTTATGAAGATAGGCTCAAATCATCAAAAGCAAAGAATTAAAAGTAAATTAAGCCCAATTTTCCTCAAATGTTTATTTTGAGTTCATAGTATGAGCAAGACATTGGAGTATGCACATATATACACAAGATGTCCCAAACATCAAAAAATTTGCAATCTAATGGATAAGAGGTCATAAATTATAAGAAACTGCCTTTCCATCCAGACTTCTTTAGTTTCAAATTTTAAAGATTCTAACTGGAGAGGATTTTCAGAAGTTATATATTCTGCAATACTGGTGCAGAAACAGAGAAAACAGTTCCCTCTTTAGCTAATTTTTCTAAGTTTAAACTTCAATAGGAAAAGTAATCTCTATATATTTTGGTAACCTCCCTTCCTGGTTTGTTTTCTTAAAAAATATTTCATATTTCATGCTATCAAAGTACACCTGAAGTAGCCATGGTCATTCCATGGAGGGATTTATGTCCTCAAAATATCTGTATATTTCTCAAAGTATGTTTTTATATATTTCTAAAAGTATATCTTTAAAGAACCTGTATATTTCCAAAAGTATGATTTTAAAAGATTTTGTAGGGATAGATGATTTTAAAAATTCCTGTGATAAAATTTGATATCTAGCATATTGCTAAATATCAAATTTTAAGTGACAAGAGTAATATAGGGGTCAGAAAACTAGGGGTGAGGATATTAGGATTAAGCTCCTGAGTTTGTTGCTTACTGGCTGTATGACCTATTTCATTTATGAAATGAGAATAATAATACTGGATTTACCTACCCAATGAAGGTAGAGAAAGCATCAAATGAAAAAGCTTATGCTGAGAAAACATCATGAAAGTTAAAAATGCTGTTTAAATAAAAAGTATTAAAATAACTTATGTTTGTAATAATGACCCCAAGGACCTCCATGGTATTAAAATGCCTGTTTCAGGCTTCCAGTTATGGAATGAATAAGTCATGGGAATAAAAGGTACAGCACAGGGAATATAGTCAATGATAATGAAATAGCATTATATGGTGACAGATGGTAGCTATGCTTGTGGTGACCATAGCATAAGGTAGAGAGAAGTTGAATCACTATGTTGTACACCTGAAACTAATGTAACATTGTGTGTCAACTAGGCTCAAATGAAAAAACTTAAAGTAAAGCAATCAACAGAACAATAATTTTAATAAATATACAAAATTTTAATATTTAAATTATATAGAGTACATAACATTATTAAGACAAACATTAAGACCTACCTCAATAAATGGATCTGCAAAAGACCATTTATACAAAAGAAAATGCCATTAGCAAATAAACATCATAAAAAGCATTTGGCTCATAGTAATAAACACATATTTAATAATGAAAAATAAATAAAATACTTATTTAAATTAGTTTCAATTTCACAGACGTCTAGTAAGTATTTGTTATCTGCCAGTACTCTATATTGTCAATCAAAGCAATATTCAATTAGGTTTGATATAATTATTGTATTAAGTAGATTTTTGGTATTATTATAATTGAATTATTTGAATATAGAAATAACTACTTTGGCATATATATATCTCAACACTCTATCAGAATATTGTATTATTTAAAATTATTTAAAGTGCTACTTCTTTCCTGAGGTATATCACCTAAATAAGAACTTACTATAATTGGTCTGAGCTTATTTTTTCATCTATTTAGCTCAACCTGGAGAAAACAAGTCAGAACAAATTAATCTTCATGTCTCCACTGAAATAAAATTAAATTAAAAGGTGAAACTCATAAGACTGTCATGTTTTCCATTTTGAA